TGTATGCATATATGAATGTGTGTGTGTGCAGAGTAGAGGCTGAGAGGCGAGGAATCGGCCGGGAGGTACGGAGTCAACTCGTTATGTCTGCAAATGAAATTGAAAGCATTAACTCACAAGCCCCATGCCAACTAGCCGAGCATACCTACAGACAGGCGATATGACCAGTCGGGGGTGGGAAGAGGAGAGGAGGCAAAGAAGCGGCAACGTGAAGAGGCAGCCTCAATTGAAGCTGTTAAAAAGGCCGAGAGGAAGTGGAAAGAAGCGAGGAATGTGTCGCGAAGATGAGCTCTCTTGTCCACTGACAGCATGTGTCATGGCTGCTCATCGCGAGCTGGCGTCGCAGGGGTCGAGGCATACGCGGCCGACTGAGTGCTCCTGTTTTGTTATTCCCACCTACAATTTAACACCTTCTTACCAATTCTCTCACCTTCTTACATTCATTCTATCCTATTGCCATGAACGCGGGCCTCCGTAATGATACAGGCCAGTTTGGATCTAACTTTTGTCTACTCAAACACTCTCTCATTGATGAGCAGATCGGTCGGCACAATTGGGCTTCAAACAAACTGCCAAATTTTTTGGCAGAATGTCGTTTTCACAACCTGTTTGGGAGCGAACCTGTTCCTGCGTCGTCTGACATAGCATCGCGCCATTGAACTGGTACATTCAGAATGCATACGTGAGAAAATGAGATGCAACCAATACTATACAGCTGAAGGAGACTGTGAGGCGGTACGCAATGATAAAAAGAAATAAATCACATATAAATACTTATAGGATATCTAAAGATAGTTTATAGCACTACTCATTCAATGGGCAGTAGTATAGTTAAATTAATCTTATCGACAGGAGCTCAGCTGCAAACCGGAACTAAATGAGGCCAGAAAAATGCATGGTTTCCCCACTCTAACTGCGATTTAGGCGAGTTCTCTTCAAACCAATGATTAACTGGTTGAGTCTACTTCCATTTCAAGTCAAAGTTAGATTTAACCAGAAGACGACGGTGAATTTCTCTTGACCAGTTGCCGATTAGTTTTACTGCAAAATTCAGTTTGACACTGTTTACGAGGTGAAAACATGCTAGGCCATCGTCCGTCATATGACGAACAACATCAGAACAAGGTATCATCTTCACAACCAAATTCAAGCTTATGAGTCCAGCAAACTTGACAGTGATGTTTGTCAAATGACGGACGAAAGCTTAACACGTTTTCACCGGAATCTAAGGAGATTGCCTCGGAAACAGAGTCAAAAAGAATGTTCCCGTACAACCAATCGACAATTGGTCGTCTTCTGATGGAATCGTCCTTCGAATCTTTTCACCAAACACTTTCACACAAAATGGAAGTGAACTCAGCAATTATGAAACAAGAGATTCCTCAAAGCCAACCTTTTCCTCGCACACAATATCGGTCACTTAATCTCCTTCTTTAAGAATTACCGATGACTTGAAACATTCTCTTGCTGTATACAGTTCTTCCCTAACCGAGTTTTTGATTGTTAATACTTAATTAGGTAGCAACATGTAGAGGTAGCGCAGGAATGCGATTCCAGTGAATCTTTTTCTTTAACTGTACTTATAAAAATCGGTTTACCGAGGGAAAACGTCTTTTGGATGGCAAATTTATGAATAAGCAAAATTAATGAAAATGAATATATTTCGAGGGAATATTTTCTAGATTATATCATCTATTAGAGGCAAATGTGCTACAAATCCGAAACGGGCAAGATGCACTATGTTCGATAGTTTTGAAGACCAATGCACATGAGTGCATGAAAAAGCTCGAATTTTCCCAAACCCTGTATATGAGATTTCTCTGTCATAGTCTTCCTTTAGAACACTTCACTAATGACAATTAATTATGATGCTTATTAGATGTATTTATCCTATTTCATTTGGAGTGATACGGGACCCTAAACGCACTAGAATAAACTAATCTAATCTATATAATCTACCGGTAGTAACGGTGTATGTTTTGCCTGTCGTTAAGGCCCATCGCAACGGCATGAGTTGGAGAAGATACTTAATGTTTGCGTTGCCTTCCACTCTTCCAGTCTTTTCGAAGAGTCTCTTCTCATCGAAAGTCTGTACTGCCGTTTCGGCCTCGTTTCACCGCTGCCTCACCACCTACGAGGGTCTTGGAAGAGTGAGGCTTTATGCTAAAATGCATTGCCAGTGAGACGAGAAATTCCTCACAAGCAGACGTGAACG